AATGGGCTTCCATCTGGAGCTGCACCCGAAAATGATCCAACAACGGCTGGATTATTTACACGCCGACTTAACGAGGTGAATGCTGTCGGTGTGGCCTAGGCGGGGTGAGATATGTGGACGGTTTGATTCAAATTTACAAAATATATTAAAGAATGCGAAATGTCGAAGTCCAGGAGAGAATTTATTACAGAGTTTGACAGTTTTAAAATATAAACTCCATAATTTATCTTCTTGGTTTAATACATTTTTAAGTATGGATTTTTTTCTTGTGATGTATACTAGATACATCATAAAACGAATTTTCTAAAGATTTATTGTTAATGTTAACCTTTAGTTACATTTTAAATGAAAAAAAATATTGTTCGCTGAGATTTATGTAAATATTTTAAAATTATCTAATTTTGCTGCAAGTACACCTTTTATTAAGGTAATATGCCCCGATTATTATCTTTGATGTTTAGTTGCCTCCATTACCAACTTTACAAAAAATGTATAGATGTATGTGTACTATCGGTGGACATAAAAAACTGGAACAACATGACAATTGTGTAACTCAAAAAGTCGGATATACCCATTGAGTAAATTTGGCTTTTTACAAATAAGGTTATAAAAGTTATGACATATTGTCAGAAAAATCACGTTAAAGTTCAGTTTTTTAATGTCTACATTTACAAGAATTTTATAAGTAACTAAATTAATCTAGCATCTCTTTAGATTCTCTAGATTGCTGACAATTTTGATTTTGAGTGACAAATCAAAAGTTTGATACCCAATGAGCAAATTTTGAATGTACCAGTTTTTTTTTAACTATTTTAAATACATTTTAATAAAAACAATTTTTATAATGTAAGTAAGCAAAAGTCTTATTACTTGCGTGTTTCGAAACGTGATTAGATAACTTTTATTCTTGAAGTATACAAGTACATGTAAAAAAATACTAAAGTAGAGCATTGATATTTCATATTTAATAAGTTTTCTTGATGGAAAAATCAAAGACATTATATCTGTTTTTCCTATAGGAAATAAATTCTATTAGTAAAGTAGTCAGGTTTGTTGATTTACACTCGAAGGAAACAAATTTCCTATTAAGAACTTTTCAAGTTGCCAAACGACAGAACTATTTGGGCTAACCTAAGCTTATTGATCCAATAGTACTGATTGAACTGGAAAATAAGGTTACCTGCACTACAATTCTGAAATAGAAAAGAATGAACAACAAAGATCATTTTTGAAATTTTATTTAGTTTCCATTGCTATTTCTACGCTAATGCTATATTTCAAAACTTCAACGTATTGCAACTGCTGTTTACAAATGCCAGGGATGACTGCATTCAATTCATCATTTATACGAATGTCTCGTACCCAAATATCATCAGTTAATCCTATTATTATTTATCCTTGTTGTGTTACAAAGATAACACTCTCTTATTACAATGCAAAGTATAATTTATTTAAACATAGTTGCCATCAATTCTCCTAGTCTGATGTAAATCTAAAATTATTGTACCCTTTGTTGAACAATACACTATCTCCATTTATTCTTTTCAAATGGATATGTTTTTTGTCTAATATTTTTTATAATTAAATAAGCCTTCAATACATCAAAACAAGCTATTTTTTATTGCAATTAATTTATAAAAAACTGAGAAAAATTGTACCTCATTAAATATTCACGACGAAAAGAAGATAAAAGTTTCGGTTTCAGATCGAAAATAAATTTTTCCAATAAAAATTCATGTCTTCACAGTATTGTCATTTTTCATTGAACTCAGCAAAAAACTTTTGTTTATGTCTTGAAATAGACCTCTTCAGTAGATCAAAATGTCATTAATTTGAAGTAACAAATCTGTTTAAAAATGGTGGATGCGCCGGGCTACAATTTTTTGGTACTTATTAGATCAAATTTTTGGGTTAGTTTAATAAAAAAATCTTTACAAGGGCAATTTTTCAGTGTGTTATAAATGTGTCTATATTCATTTTATGTTATGTTCATATCCACCGATTAAGCTTTAATAAATTTCCTCTTTCACAATATCGATTCGTTTGCTATCACCAAAACCTACATTATACCAGCTTTATTTAGGACTTTTCTTTATCTAGCATTCATCGCCACACATTGTTCGTGTAAGTGAGTCATTAATGTCTAATAAAATAATAATAAAAAACGTCTTGACAGCTGACAATTTTTCCGGTTATAGCAATTCATTCCTACTTTCGAATTGTTAAGAAAAAAATTTGACGGAATTAAAAAAATTGTTATTTATGTTTTATTATTCATGTCCGAAGGGAAAAGAAAAATTTAGCTTGAAACATTAACACGCTTCCGTCAATTAGGTACGTGCATTAACATAATAAAATATAATTTATGAATAATAAAAAGAGTATAAATAATGAAAATGTTATTTAACTATAGAGACTTTGTCGACCTATTTGGTAGTAAAATGGCAGACTAGAGTGGGGATAATTTACACACAATAAAAGTTCAGGAAAAATTATTATACGCATGGGATTTATTATCGTTTCTTTCAAAGTCAAAATATAGTTCTTACAAATTTAAATTACTTTGGAAAAGTCTTCGTCACACTTGAGTCGTTACCAGGAACGTATTAAGTGTAAACTTGTCTTCTGTCATAAACCAAATTATTGTTAAGAGTTACGACACTGCATGCAGAACCTAATTTGCTTATGCAGTACCGTATTTCATCGAGTGGAGTTAACCCAGAATTAGTACATAATAAAAAGTAGTTCGATATTATGTCCTAAATGCCGCCTCCAGTGGTCTAACAAATTACAACTCTCCAAATAACGACGACATAAATGTCGTTTTATTTTTTTCGATTTTTTATATCCGTGTAATATAAATCAAAACGATCCAAGTTACGCCAGTGTTAGGTAATAAATTTTTTCCACAAAATACTTTCCTCATCGGAAATAACTTTAGAGGAATAGAACGAAAAGTGGCTGGGTAATACGACAATCAGGTCTATAGCCCCATTTAAAAATCAAGTTTTATCCAGCTTTGGCCTCCTTTGCATGAAATAAACCTTAAAGGAAAATTATTGGACATTCGTTTCAGTAAAAAAACTGCCGACTTAACTCGAAAATTTAACTTTTATTTAATAGTTGTAACATGTTACTGCAACGGAAATTATTATAGCCATACATTTTACTTTAGGGTCATTTCCGTTTTCGTGTTTTATACTTGCGTTTGTTTTAATTGACGAAAGAAAAGTTATCGCGGACTGATTTTTTTTCAGAGATGATTGCATGTACAGGGCTAATTAAAATTTAGCATCAATATGGAGCTATATTCTAATTAATTAATTTTGCTTTGTACCTAGATAAACCCAATTAAGTGTTCGTTCTAAAATAAATATTTGGATCCAATTTATTCTCGCTTTCCCACTTTTGTACGACAGATTGTTATCACAGTTTTGCGAGGCAATTACTAAAGGACGGTATGGTTTGTAGACGCAGCAGATTGCAATACTAGATGACGGTTATTACTCAATACAATAAAGACAATTTTATTTCCTCTTCAACACTATACCGAGGCTTGTTGATGGACATAAATCTAATTAAACAATTAACTAACTGTATCAGTGTTGTGTTTGCAGAGAAGTAACCTTTATTTTATGCTGTGTGTAGCTTCAACTATTGGTGTTAATATATGTACGTAATTTTAAAAGGTATTTTGGCAATTAACTCTCTAAAGTTATATAGTACGCATTATATTGTAAAACAGGGTTGATTTATTCAATAGTGTTAAAAGTTTTGACAGCATTTATAATTATTGTTGATTATGGCCCAATTTTTAAGTTCAAAATATTTAAATGTTTTAAAGTGCCTGAAATTGACAGCTTCATTAAAAGAAAAACCTTTTTTAATTGTTGCAGTTGACTACTCCGAAATTACTTTTTGATTTTAGCACACTTAATCAAATGCTCAAGTCACCGGTTTACATTTTTTTAAAATCAAAAATAACTTCACTTAACTTTAACTTAGATACAACGAGAGTACAAGTTTTGGTTGTGATTTTTATCTATTGTCAAGCAAGAAGGTATAGGTTTCAACTAGGTAAAATCAGGTAGAAAAATATATACCCACTGCAGTCCGAAAGCTACAGAGCATCACACACGAATAATACCTAATAAAAGTCTGTATCAGAAATTGGTTCAATTCGGATAGCAACAAAGACGGAACTTAATTCAATAAATAAACTATCTGGATTTTTATACCTAATCCTCTCAAAACTTTTCTCTTTATGTCCGAATAAGCCGATTCAGTTATTTAAAACTTTTCCCATTTTCTCAATTATTTCATAAAATTAATTGAGGATATTTCTCACAGAACTTCCGATTTTTCTCATCTTTTTTCGTGCTACTTGTTTGCGTCTGGCTGAACAAGTCATGTGAATGTCCCTACCAAAGACGTTTGACGACTCAGTATATTACCTTGAACTCATAGCGAGATGTCGAGGGGCATGTTGCAGGAGTCCGCTTAAAAGTCCTGCTGCATCAGCAGAGTCGGCCTCTCTGCGATTTTGTGATCATTTTTAGTGGCGCTTCGCTTGGCTGAATTATTGCTCTTTACGATCTGGATGTCCTTCCAAACTGTCAATAGAGCCGAGATTGCGACATGAAACTAAATTAAACTAGTTTACATAAACTTGCCAATATTCAACATGCAAAATGCATGTAGGGAAGCCATTCAAACCGTTTTTACGAGTTGCATTCCACTGTTTCTCTATCCGATTTAAATTATGACTTCGTAAATTCAGCGAAATTTCGATATTTAGAGAATTGTTTAGGACATACAGAAAGCCTTAATAAATCATATTTAATGCGAGAGCCAACAATTGAACGGTCTTGTAAAAAGGACAACAAACACAGCTTTGTGAGATACCAAGGTCAAAGAACAAATTATCTAACCCATTTTTACAAATTCCCAAACACCCGCCTTGGTTATTAAATTATCATCCCGTAATATGTTTGTTCCAGTTCGTTATGGAAAAGCCTCACTTCGCTGGATTTGAGCTATAATCAACTAGACAGTGTTCCTTTCCTCGCACTCAAAGAACTGCGAAGTCTGCAGTGGATTAATTTGCACGGGTATGTTCCTACCTTTCTGAAATTATCTTTTATACTTCTTGTATAAAGATGCGTCTCCAACTTTTCAACATAAAAGCTTTTTCATGTGTCAAGCCGAGCAATTTTTTGATACAAGAGCGTCAGCAAAAACTGTTCTATTACAGTATAACGCTCAAAAATAATAGCCTATTTTAGAGTGGCTTAATTTGCTTTGGATTTATTCTTTAATGACTACTAAATGTTATGGTTGCTACTGCAGTTAACATCTTGAAAATGGTTTTTCTACATCTGAATGATTGTGTTAGAGAAATTAAGTTGTTCAATAAAATGTAATTAGTTAGTTTTCAAACTTAATGAATACTAGTCGAAGTCAGGTATTTATGTTTATAATTACATTTAATAGTGTTGCTTCTATGTTAAAGGTGTTTCACTACCTAAACTATGAAGACATTATTTTCAGTTTTATATTAATTACAACACTGAAATGTTGGCAGTTTCTCTACTTCTATATCTACAATTGAGTTCTGTTCACTTTACCTTGTTGACAAACATCAACAGTAAAATTAATTAAATTCTCAACTGTTCATCAAAACTAAGTTTATCTTGACTCGAATTTCTATTTGTTAAATGTTTTAGAGTTAAACACGTAATTAGTTATTCAAAGAACATAAACAACAGATGGCTTTTTATTTTAATTTTTTTTTCAATTTATGGGCTCATAATTAATTCATAATTTTGGAATTTTTGAAAACTGCACTTCATCCCAATTTCAGTAGTTAATAATTCATCCCCGATTTGAAGAATCAATATTCCATTATGAATTCATATTGAAACTTTTCAGTTATATATTGTGTCCCCCCTTTCATTCCTCAAATCATGCATGAATCCCTTCTGTTTAAAGTTTCACAACTTTTTATTGGTTTTTATTTACAACAGTGGTTATTAATAATGCTTTTATTGCCTCGAATTTTCCCCAGGATTAAATCCCTATCGCTTCGTCCTTATCGCTAATGTTTCTCGAGTTAAATCTAAAGGATGAAAAAGCGCATTTAATAAAAATTTAGAGTATTGTAGTGACCAGAAACGCACCGAATAACTGCTACATGAGGATTAACGCCTAATTCTGTATACATTTGAATTAAATTTTCCCACTGGTTACGATTTTGTTCCACTTGGAATAGTGTAATAGCAATTGAAGTAAAAATAGACTTGAGAATAAGGGCTTTTTATTAGATGCGTCGGCTTCGATTCAAAATTGAAATTCCTTCTTTAAATACAATTGAAATTGAAATTTGCTCGTATTTATTTCGTAATTATTTGAATTGAAGCGGATCTCTTTTATTAAATATTCTGTCAGTCTCTTTTATTGCGAATAGGGAGAGTTGGATATTTTTGTGGTACGTGAAATTAACTTACATTTACGTCTGCAAAATAAAGTTTAAACAAAAGAGACAGAATGTGGTTTAATCAAACAAAGTACTAAACCACTAAAACTAACAAAGGAAGTTAATTTGCTGTTATAGAACTAGCACGTGACTTGATTTCGGCTATTTACTCTGCTTGGTTTAGTTTTTAATTTATAAATAATGGATGAAATTTCTAGTAAAACAAATAAGCTCACAGTCTTTGCTTTAAATGGCTGCATGTAGTTTAGTTTTATATGGAAAATAAGGTTTCATAATTTTTATAGAATAAAATACAAAGCCAAATGGAAGTGAGTTGTGTATATCTCTACTTTTTTTCGTCAAATATTAATTTTCCGCAGCTTTGGATAAGATTCAAAGCAAATAGTCAGCAACGTTTGAAAATTCAGACAATTGGCTACTTTCCAGCTTTCTAGCTAGTACGCAATTCCGTTAATCTTGGAAACGCCTCAGTAGTAAAAGCGATTTAAGACTTAAATCCATCTGCGGCAAACATCACAAGATTTGTTTTTCTTAAATTAAACGGAGTTTACGTGAAGTTTCACATCACTTTCCTCGTGGTAGTTTCCTATAACTAAATACTCCATTTGTCAGAACTAGAGTTTGAATTGGTTCGACAAGTGTGCAATTCTCTGAAAAGAAAATTGCTACTGGACACGCACGATGGTGTCTATAGTATACTTATCCTAAAAACGATTGCAACTGGATTCTAAGTGTGGTCACTAAATGACCAACACAACGGTAATAGCTTTCTGAATTTTTATTTTGAAAGTTTAAAGAGAAACAATAACGAAATTAGTTTGTCATGAAATAAAGTAAAAAGTTTAAAAAAACAGTTTCTTTTGTAATTCGAGTGCCATTAGTTTGATTGCCACAAAACTCGCCGTAAAAATATTCAATCAGTCGAAAGCAATTCAAACAACAAAATGACTGTTATAAAAGATTTAACAGTTTTCGTGCACTGTCATGTTTCCACATCATTAAAAAGACTCAAATGTCCACTGCTGCATAACAATACACTCTACACAATAGAAAAAATTCAAAGAATAAGAGGTAAATCACGAGTGTTTGACGGTAAATCTGAACAAAGAAATTTTGCTGAAAAAATAAATTGAGCTTTCAGGCTTGCAAAAGTTTTGGAATGTTAGTAGTGTACCAGTCGTCCTAAATCTATAATTAGCATAATTCTCTAATCATACACTGTACTCTCATTGATGCGTAAATGGTGTTAATGAGGAGTAAAGTGTTGCGGTCAGTTCGGGTAAATTATTCAGGAATGCTTGAAGAATTTGTTTGTGGAGGATGAGAAGATATTGACTCTCATTGAAACTACATCGTATATGGAATGCATTAGGAAAATGAGGGTAAGCGTTAGGTTCACGTTAGTTATGTTAATGTACAGTGACGGCCAATTCCAATGCAATTTTCTGAACCAATTCAAGAAATCGATAAGTTCTAAAGGCGATGTTAATCTTAAACGTAGTTTTATTTTATCGAATGTAAGTGTTTTATGGTGCTGAATACTCAAACCAACATGATTTTGACATAAATAACTAACTCTATTTCCACAAAGTTGAACAATCAACATAAAAAACTGTACCTATTATTAAAAGTAAATTAGACACAAACTGATTATTTATATTTACAATTTTTGTAGTTATTTATTTTTACTAAGCGTTTGTTGATTGATATGATTTAATAAACACATTGCTTGTTTGTTATCATTTTCAAACTTATACATATAATTTTGTATATACAGGCTGTATTATGAAAAACGCCCCAAGCCATAACTCCATTATTTTTAAAGTTATGACAATACTTCTTAGAACAAAGTTGAACATTTTTTGTCATCTATCGTTTAGGATAGATGCTAAATTAATGCTATTTTCTGTTTCATCGGAAATCACATCAACTTTATTTTTTTTAATGGAACACCCTGTATATTTTACCACTTTTGGATTCTTTGTTTAACTGTCTTTTAACTAGTTTTAGTACCATGTGCCTATAACTAACCGTTCGTGAGATATTCACCAAATAATGTATTTATTAAAGTAGACAGTGGAAAACAATAATATCAAGTAATGTTGACAAATATTATTCCTTTGCATTTTCTCTTACTGTTTTTATACTTTTTAATGTTAATCATGGATGATAATGTGTTAACAGACATATTTTGAATAAAATAAAAATTGTGGGAGAGCACTACGCTTTTACACTGGGTGATTTCTGATGAGAGACGTTCCAAATCGTCGAAAATTTGAGGATGTTTTGGGCTTTTAGAAAACCCAAATTAAAACATCTCCAATTTCAAAGAGATACAGAATTAGATAGGTATTGAAGAAAATGCAAGAACATGAATTCAAGAAATTGCAAGTAACGTTGGCTTATCGCACGCAACTGTTCTAATTTGGGTTTTCTAAAAGCGCCAAACAACCTCAAATTTTCTTCAGGTCGACGAATTGGAACTTCTCTTATTGGAAACCGCCCAGTGTAAAGGCGTTGTGGTCYCCAACTATTTTTATTGCTTTCAAAATATTCTTGAATCATGTCTGTTAACACATTATCACCAGAACACCAAAAAGTATAAAAATAATAAGAGAAAATGCAAAATAATAATATTTGTCAACATTACTTAATATGGTACTAAAACTTGTTAAAAGACAATTAAACAAAGAATCCAAAAGTGGTAAAATATACAGGGTGTTCCATTAAAAAAATAAAGTTGATGTCATTTCCGGTGAAACAGAAAATAGCATTAATTTAGCATCTATCCCAAACGATAGATGACAAAAAATGTTCAACTTTGAACTAAGAAGTATTGTCATAACTTTAAAAATAATCGAGTTATGGCTTGGGCCGTTTTTCATAATACAGCCTGTATATAAAAAAAATTATAAAATTTGTTATTGAGTGTTTATATACCGGGTGAATAAAAAGTCTGAAACCAAGCATTTTTAATTAGTGTTGTTTAAAATACTATAAAGATTTGATCAAATGAAAATTTTCGAATTTCCTTTTTGTTTTCGAGTTTTGCAAAAAAAATTACTGGCACCTCACCATTTTTTTTATTTAAAGATTATGATTTAAAAATGACCTCTCATTAAATAAAATTGTTACTTAGCCAGTAGGTTTTTTTAATAAGTTGTTAAAATTGCGTTCTGAGCTCATTACAAAGATTTTCCGAACTAATCGAAGTGGTCGTTTTATGCATTTTTAACTTTTTTAACTTAAATTTATTTAAGAAAAACACTCGATAAACAACAGATTTATTTAATTAGAAGTCATTTGTAGCTCATAGTCTTAAATTAAAATTTGTCATAGTAAGTTGCCAATAAAATTTTTTTTTTGCTAAACTCGAAAACTAAAGGGAATTTCAAAAAAGAATGTTTTTCAAAAACGGTCTCATTTTTACAATAGGTACTTTACACTGCACTCGAAAAGTAATTATGTAGTTTATAAAAAACGCTTGGTTCTATATTTATTACTCACCCGGTATAATCTAAAGATTGTCATTATTGTCTGTGATTAAATTTTTTTATGTTTTTTTGTATTTTTACTTTGTCTGGGAATGTAAAAATTAAACCTTTAGTTTCTACAAAAATATTTGTTTTTGTTAACCAAAAGTTTGAAGCTTTTTTATCTTTATAACAGCAGCTGTTGTCATAGATCTTTGTATGTAAAGACTTTTCTTTGTTTTTTTAACTTAAACCTTTAGTTTCTACAAAAATATTTATTTTTGTTAACCAAAAGTATGAAGCTTTTTTATCTTTATAACAGCAGCTGTTGTCATAGATCTTTGTATGTAAAGACTTTTCTCTTAAAGTGTCTATTATTACATTTTTGTGAATAATAATTATTATTCTTTTGTCTAAATGTCTTAAGTAGTAGGTAAAAGGACACTTTGAATATTAGATACTTCAGTTTTGAACTAATTTTATCGCACAGTCTTTAATAAAAGCAACAAACCATTTAAACTTTTGTAAAAAAGCTGCTTGAGTCTGGTCGTGATGCATGATTTAAGCCAACTTCAATGATTCCCTATATTACCTTATAAAATTCAAATCAGCGTCGAAGCTTTAATTGTTTTGTTTGACAAAAGGCATTCTTTCCTTTAAAAACGTTCAATCTTTATTCATAGTATTTCTTCCATCTGCATAATTGGAAAATCATCCAGTCGCAAATTCAATTCTTCTAGGCTTCTATTTACAGTTTGATTTTATTTGATCGGCACCACATAAAACTCAATCAAACGTTTCTAATTAAAAATTGATGTTCGACTTTACTTTTCAGTTTCAACTTTTGACCGGTTCCATTGTTAATAATACTGCACATAAATTTCAATTTCAAGGCAAATTTCACGAAAGCAGTGTCTAGACTGCGATGGATTGGTGGATTTTTCAGGCAGTTTTTTACACTTCTAAATACGTCGAGTTTTATAAACATGTTGAAGATCTTTTGCGGCACTGAAACGAGCGCGGATCACATAAAAACGAGTTACCCCATTTACCTCCATTTCGTTAGAGTTCGTGGCTTCTCAAACGTTCTCTCCTCGCTTACACGTTTTGGAGCCTTGACCCGATAAGGAAAAAAAACAAAACTTCTTAAAAGCAGCAGTCGCAATTGCTATACCAAGAGAATATTCTTTATTTCATTGTTCTTTTGCAAAAATCACTGCCGTAAAGGGAGCAGAAAGGTAAATTTCTGTAAAATATTCTTCTATGTTTTGAGGTAAGTTTAAATTCAGAACAACGCTCTCACAATCTAATATCTACAAATTTGCTTAAAGTAATGTCAAACTAAATGCTTTGTCTTGGAAATGCAAATCTAAAATGCAAATGTGTCAAGACAAACGCATCCTATTAGAAGGACTTCGTTATTTAAGTTCAACTCGTATCCTCATACATATGAACGTGTCTAATGAAAATACGTTTTTGGACTCGGCGTTCCGACTTTAATGCATTATCGAACTTTCGACCTACTTGCCCCGATAAAATCAACTCATCTGCAAATTAGGCTCGTTCATGATAATTTTTATTACCGACGAGGCTGAACTGAGGATTTGCCGATGTCGCGTTTGGTAAATCCAACAAATTTTGGGTGGGTTTTATTTTAGGAAGCATAAATATTTAGACTTTTATCTTTTCTCGACACGGATTAAAATTCAGGATTAAATTTGTAACCGACCAAATTAAATATTCACTTTTGAAATAAACGGCAGTTGGAAGCAACTGTATGATAAATTTCCAACAAACTTTGCAAAAAAACACTAACGTGCTGATCCAAAAAGAGGGGGTAAATTGAGTATTATGAAGTATTCATTTTGAATTTCAATGTTAGTGGTGTAAAATGTAGACAAAATATAAAGTCAGGAAGCTAATTTTGTGTTTTTTCTCTGTTTAATAAAACCCAAGTGAAAACTGAAGATAACGCAAACAACATCAACAAACATCAACACCAACAAATAATAAGAATATCCATCTGTGTTTTTATTTTATTTTTTATTTCAAATTACAAATATTTTCATTTTTGATAAATAATACACTACTTTATTCAAATAATAATAAAACTTAACAAATATTACCAAACATTATTTCATATTTTTGATAAATATTATTTTAGTCCAATAATATAATGCGTACAAAATAAACTACCAAATGTTTAGTTTTAGTTATTGTAGTATTATTTTAATGGAATAGGTACAAAGTATGAAATAAACTGTTTATTTTAATCACAGTTCATGTTGAATAAATAAGTGAGTAAATACAATGTATAATTATTGCTAAAAACATGTTTTCAATCAAACATGTTTTATCTAGAATCAAATTTTTCGAATTTTTTTTTGTTTTTGAGTTCTACAATTTTTTTATTAAAAAAAACATTTTTCACATGCAGCTTATGATTACAACTACCTATTTTATATATAATTTTTTTTTAATTTTTTTATTTAAATTGCAATTTTGACAAAAAAAATCGCATAACTCAAAAACAGAACAAAGTTTCGTTCTCTCAAAATACCATCACATTTTTTTTATATTACTTTAATTTATATTAATTATTATTCTCTGAAGGCAAATGATTAAAAAAAAATACTTTTTTAAAGTTGAAAAAATCTTCAGAAAAACCTCCTGTTGAGTCAGATATCTCCTATAAAAAATGGTACCTAATATTACTACAAATCAATTTCCAGAAAGATTCTAAAAACATTCATAATCAGAGTTTTTCAGCTTTCTCTCAATTACGGTTTCCAGGTGTACGTAATCGATTTGCGATAACAATAGAGTTTCAACAATATAAAATTTCGTTTTGTGTGTCTAGACATGTCAATAAAATTGTATTAGGTATCACTTTTCATAAATTCAGAATTAGGTCAAGGAGTGAACTCATAAATACAAAGTATTTTATTCACAACAGTGGTGTAATAGAACACAGGAAACTATTGCATCATTTTCGATAAACATGTAGTAATTACGTCGGTAGATTTTCTGTCACCATATTTTGCTGGTGCATGCTGTCTCTATACAAAAACAACATAATTATAACAATTTCATTAATTTTTACGTTATTAAATCGATATTAAATGGAAAAACATGTATATTTTTCCGTTATGTGTCAACTGATTGCCCTTTTTGTTTCAGGAACCAAATATCGTCGGTAGGCAGCGAATGGTCGCATGCGAAGAACACTTTGACAACGCTATTTTTGGGTGAGAACGACATCACCGAAGTGGCGGTTGAGCAGCCGGATCACATCTCTAAAATGTCTCACGGTCTGAGGGACTTCAAGTCCCTTATTTGGGTGAACTTGGACGGAAACCGCATATATAAAATCCATAAGCACTCTCTGCCGCTTACTCTTCAAACTGCCAGTATTTCGCATAATTTGATTGAGAACTTTCCACTTGAAATCATGAGCGGCTTGCCTCATTTGCAATGGCTGTATTTGCGCGGGAATCACATTAGGACGATACCCGAGCACACGTTCGGCAGGAAATTATGGCTCGAGAAAATCGATCTTGGCGAAAACTATCTAAAAAGTTTACCGAGATCCCCATTTAACAGTTCTGTTTATATAAGAGATTTAAATCTAGCTTTTAACGACTTCAAGACGCTGTCGAGCCAAAGCTTCGCCGGTCTCCAGTGCGGAAGGATAATTCTTTCGTACAATATGCTTGAGGATCTCGAAATTAGAACGTTCGAGGGTATAGAGGACACTTTGGAGTATCTCGATTTCGATCACAATAATTTCCAGCGGATTCCCTACGCCTTGGGCCAACTCAACTCCCTTAAATACCTTTACTTATCGTCGAACTTGCTAAGTGAAATACCGGAACGAGCCTTCGACACTTTCTGTTCCAGTCTGAAAGCGGTGAGCTTGAGCGGAAATCGTTTGACAAGAATTCCGGTTGAAACATTGCAAAATTGCTCGAAAATTTCCCACTTTAACATCGGTTTTAATGAAATATACGAAATCGGGGAGAGCGATTTCAGCTGGGGCTCGAACATCAAGAGTCTCATATTGGGAAACAATCGAATTACAAGCTTGAAGAGTCAAATCTTCACCGATTTGCAGCAACTTAAAGAACTCAGTTTAAGTTTTAACCCGTTGCGGGTCATCGACAACAACGCGTTCGCCGGCCTCGAAGGCTTAGAGAGTTTGGAAATATCGTTCGGACTCGACAGAGATGACCTTCCACACGAAATTTTCAAACCGCTAACAAACTTGAAATGGCTTTCCGTCGACAACAATAACTTCGATACGGTCCCGGAATTCTCTTTAGATTCGCTTCCCGAACTCAAATATCTCAATATCGAATCCAACAAGATACGAACGATTCCGGTCAACTTATTAAAACCGGCCATCCACTCCAAACTCAAAGACATTCGTTTGTCCAACAACGAAATATCTACGATTCACACCGACACGTTTAAATCACTAAACAGCCTCGAAACCATTCTTCTCTCTAATAATCGCATCAGAGCCATCGAAGCCGATAGTTTTAACGACCTTCCAGTGCTCAACAAGCTGATCCTCGCCAATAATCTAATATCGAAACTTCACACACGCGCATTTTCCAACTTGCCGTCCTTGGCGAAACTCGACGTACAGAACAATTTTTTATCGGAATTCTCGTTCTCTTGCTTCGCCAACTTATCCACTCCCTTACATCTCAACCTGAGTCGCAACCAAATCATCTCTTGCAATTCCGACCTGAAAATCCTCAACGTGCACGTGATCGATTTGCGATACAACAACCTTGCGCGAATCCCCAAGTGTCTAGAAAATACCGCTCTTTTGAAAAAACTCTACCTAGACTTCAATATAATCGGGCGGCTTGATCACAACAGCTTCATGCACTTGACTTCTCTCGAGCACCTCAGTTTACAACAAAACAACATCATGTTCATCAGCAGGAAGGCTTTTGCCGGCGTCCAAAATCTTCAAATCCTTGACTTGTCCAAAAACCTCATCTCGCAGCTACACCCGAGTCAATTCGCTAATATGCCTCAATTAAGGGTAGTCGACTTGAGCAGCAACAGCCTCAATTACCTCCCCAAAGACGTGTTCCAAAACACCGTGATTGAAATGTTGGATTTGAGTTATAATTCCTTCAGCGTGGTCCCCAGTTTGAGCCTTTCCGACGTCGGTCTGACTCTCCGACACCTCTCCATCAGTTCAAATAATATCGAACACATTGATAGTACAACGTTTCCGGATATTCCCTTCCTCCACCACCTTAATTTGAGCAATAACAAGCTCACGATCCTTCCCGACAACGTTTTTACAAGTTTGGGTTTGCTACAAGTACTTGACTTGAGTTCGAATCCTCTACGTGCCAACTTCAAAGAACTGTTCCACTACGCGCAAAGTTTGAAGCATCTAAACTTGGCCAATTCGGGGATTACTTCCACTCCTCATCTACCCTTGCCCAACATGGTCCATCTCAATTTATCCCACAATCATATCGAAGCAATCAGCAAGAACTCGGTCCAAGAGTTGAGCAAGTTAAAATCAATCGATTTGAGTCATAATCAGTTGTTCGAAGTGCCATCGCATCTTTGGGTACACTTACCGAGATTAAAATCTTTGGATTTGTCCTTTAACCCGATTAAAGAAATTGTCACGGATAGTTTTTACGGGTTATCCAATTTGCAAGATTTGAATATTCAAGGACTACGATTTCTAGATCGCTTTGAAAGTAAAGCCATTCAACAGATCAAGATTTTGAACTCGTTGACGATACAGACGTGGCCGAATATTGATAACTTTAACGAACAGTTTTGTAATTTGATGTCAAATTTGCAACAGTTGAGGATCTTGAAGATACATTTCATGGAGTCGATCCTTGATGAGCAACTGTTGTGTGTAAAAAATAAAAAAATTAGACATTTAGAAATCACTGGAAGAAATTTGAAGATGATAGATAGGGATGCTTTTGTTAGATTTGGGAGGAATCCTGACTTAGTTTTGAAGATCACGGGGACTGAAATTGAGGAGTTACCTCCCGGACTTTTTTCCAACATGTACAAAGTTTCATATTTAACGATAGATTTGAGGAACAATATGTTGTCTTATCTTAGTCCAGAAATATTTTATGGAAATACATCAACCTGGAAAAATGTTGGGACGACTTTAATCTCAGGTTGGTAAACTGTAGTAACTTTTGCTCGATTTTCTTTCAAATTCCACCGTAAATATCAAATAATAATTTTAATGAAATATTCTAGTTTTGCTTTTAATTATACTCCAGACTTGTTGAAAACTCGATGACTCTCTTCATTTTTTTACAATATCTTTAAAAGATTCTTTTTTCTCCACCGCAAAAGTTTTCATCATCCCGCTATGCAAGTTTGAAATTAAGGTAAAACTTGCAGGATTTCATGTAAACTATCGCAGTGTGTAAAGAATCTACTGTACTGGTTATACTTTAAGCGTTTCAATTTTGCGGGTAGCCAAAGTTTTGTATTTGTTTTCCGCCGGGTATTCACGCGTGTCGACAAAAGTTTGCAACGTGTCCTTGTTCCAGGTGGCTTAACCATCTCAGAGAATCCCTTCCGCTGCGGTTGCCACTTGGCCTGGCTGGGACATTGGTTGCGAAGGTGGACAAGGGAAAGTTTGCAGTCCCACAACGCGCCGGTGGAAACCGCGATGCGGATGAATGACATGGTGAAGGAGGCGACGTGTACGGACATCACCTCCGGGACTCGGATACCCATTGTGCAGTTGCCCCCCGAGGACATGAGTTGCCATGCGAGTGCTTTAAGTGACGCTCCGAATCTGAATAAAATTCCTGTGATGTTTGTTTTAATATACCTTATGACGTACAATTTCGTTCTGCGTTAGTGAACCTAACAGTATTTGTACATAACATCTAGTGTGAGACTACTTCTTCCATTTATTTTACTAAAATTTTTAATACATCAATTGTTATTTTTTGATAATGTAAATCGTGTACATAATAAAATTAAAACATATCATGCTCGTATAGAACGATAGAACTTATTTATACTGATTGCTCAAAATGGGAGATATCAATCAAAGATGTGCACACGACTTGTTTCTTATTAACGTTTAGCTAATGATAGTGTTTTGTAATGATCAATAAAGTATATACATTGTTTAGTTTCTTTCCTTAACTACCTCATGGATATGACGTACGACCCCCATAAATTTTAAACACTGAATTACCTTTTTAACACTAACTATATTCTATTAACGACATAGCAACTTTACAGGTATTCAGCTGACCGTGCAACCTAAAAGAAACAGCACTCTAGAGCAATATACTAGGTACGTTTTTATTTCCTCATACTCGAAATTACATTTGATCTACAGTATGTCCCCGGAGTGAGTTGAGGAAAAATTTTGTTATCCTTGATTTTACGCTAAAACTGCAAAGGAAAAACATTTTTTCTTCACCTAAAACGAGCAAATTTGTAATTAAAACTTCAGTATTCTGATTCAGTGAAAAGAAAAGTTAATGTTTCTCTTGATTTTGGAATAATTTTTCACTGCTTTTTAAGTTCTATCACATTGGCGGTTTTATTTATTTGGCAATTGTATGTCACTTTGACAATTAATTTATTACTTGAATAATGATAGTTGTTGTTAAAAATGATTTTGTTTCTTATCTTAAAGCTGTTTCTTTGAGTTGCCATTTATTAATAGTATATTATAATACTAGTTTATAAGCAAGCCTTTAAAATACGCACGACGGGTTTAAGAGCACGACGCGCTTTTAACGTCGTAAGTGTTTTAAAGGCGCTTATAAACGAGTGTTATACGCTATTTTTTATAATACCTGGCTATTTACGATCTTTTATGAGCATTGAAAAAATGTGAATTTACACAATAAATTTATCAAAGGTTGTTTGTGAATCGTTTTCGTAGAGACGGTTACTAGTTTACGTTGTTAAGCACATTTTTTCACGTTGTAATTGGTCCAGACATTTCATTATTTTTTGTTACCTAGATAGACACCTTTAAAATTCCAGCGTGCTATAAAGGCCAAATTACGCACGTTGCAGCGTGTTTTAATTTAGGATTATGATGCAGGTATAATAAAAAATTATGTTTTTCAAAAACATTTTTGTTATTTACTCGTAACTTGCGTAAACTCATTTGTCAAAGTGACATCATTGTCAAAATAATAAAACCGCCAATGTGATGGGATTTAAAAAGGAGAGAAAAATTAAAAAAATCAAGAGTAAAATCAACTTTTCCTTCTACTGACTTAGAATAAAGAAGTATTAATTACAGTTTTGCTCGTTTCAGGTAAAGCAAAAAATGTTTTTCCTTTGCAGTTTTGGCGTAAAATCAAAAACATTTTTTTTCCTCATAATGTATAGTACCTGAACCGTAAACAATCTCGGTTTCTCGAACTCAGGCACAAATAAATCTGCAACAATAAGATAAATTGTGATAGATAGTAAGGGGAAACTTTAATTTATTTTTATAAAGTCTTCTCTTATTGCAATTAGATAAGTATAATTTGAATAACGAAGGGTAAATAAAATTCTAAGTCAATCCCACTGGTTTAATCGAAATTGAACAATTTTGACAAAAAATTTTGGTAAGTTTTCCTACCCTTTTATTCGTTTCTGTAATTTTCTTTTTTTACATTCATAAATCAGGCACTGATGATGAGACGGGGTTCTCGAAAGTGTATTATTGTCACTTCTATGTACATAAATTCAACTTCGCTTAAACCTGTGGGATTGATTTAGAATTTTATTTATCCTTCATTATTCATATTAAAAAAGCTCGACTTTGAGAAAAAAAGATGCGTCTACTGAATTTAAATATTTAATTAATGAAGTACATACGTATTTAGAATTTTAGAGAGGTCTATCCCACAAAATGTATAAACTTGTTATACTCACAGTCCAACTGCTTAATGTTCACATTTTCAATAGTAATACCCCGAGTGCAAGAGAAATTATTAATAATTTTGTCGAGTGCACGCCCGAGGCGTATTTTGCAGACCATTTTGCGAACAAAATTTACAAAAACAATATTTTTATAATGAGAAATTTAAAAAAATATGTCAAATCTTTCAAATTTCCGAGATTCATTCAGTCAGATTCGCCGTAATTTAGACCACGGGTAAATTATCGTGTAATTTAAATTATGACTGGATGAATCTCAGAAATTTGAAAGATTTGATTGGTGTGAGAAATACGCAGTAATACACTGGCCAACGTTTTAACTAAAAAATATGAACGGTAAAGTGAGTGTATTTGAAACAAAATAAAATTTTAAAAGTGAAAATTTTAACTTTTATTGGGATTTCGCCTAATGTGGCTTAGGCCACTATAATTCTTAACGTCTCACCAATATTCAAAAAGTTTACTAATAATATTAAATTTTTATTATAAAGGAAGAAATTATTGGTAGCAGAGAAACTAACGACGAAAACAGCAGAAGTTACTAAAGATAATTGCTCTATTGGATCATAAGTAAAAAAATACCTACGATGATTAATATGAATTGATATTTTACCGAATAAAATAACGAGATCTTTCGAATAGGTACTTTTGTCCGGCATCCATTACTGTTGTTACAAAATATTTTTTATTATACCTGCATCATAATCCTAAATTAAAACACGCTGCAGCGTGCGTAATTTGGCCTTTACAGCACGCTGAAATTTTAAAGTTGTCTAGGTAACAAGATATAGTGAAATGTTTTGGACCAATTACAACGTGAAAAAATGTGCTTAACAATGTAAACTAGTAACCGTCTCTACGAAAACGATTCACAAACAACCTTTGATAATTTTATTGTGTAAATTCACATTTTTTCAATGCTCATAAAAGATCGTAAATGGGCAGGTATAATAAAAAATAGCGTACAACACTAGTTTATAAGCGCCTTTAAAACACTTACGACGTTAAACCAGTCTTAAACCAGTCCTGTGTGTTTTAAAGGCTTGCTTATAAACTAGTATTATAATATACTATTATCTCACTCATCATATACGCACATCGGAAAAGAAAAACAGCATTGACAAGCGGCCGTTTTACTTTATCATTATAGACGCCGTCCAAAAAGAACTACTTTATGGACGCTAGACGATATCATAAATTATCATACAATACAATCGAACACAATTTTTTTTATCACAAACTAGCAATCATTACTTTGTTAGAAAACACAAATAAAACAAGAGAAAAATTTGGCCTAATTTTATTGTTATTATTCAGAAACAACCTAAAAACTAGCTTTTGTATGTTCTTTTTGCACATGTTTTAAAAGATGGTGCGAGTAGGCAAACCTTTTCTCGCAGTCAGTGCAGTGATAAGGAGTTTCTCCGGAATGCGTCCTCATATGTCTCATCAAGATACTAGCCTGAGTAAAGCTTTTCTTGCACACTTTACACTCAAAAGGCTTAACTCCACTATGTATCCTCATATGAATCTTCACATTAGTCTTAACTGCAAACTTCTTTTGACAAATTTCACAACTGTATGGCTTTTCACCAAAGTGAGATTTCCTCATGTGCAATTTCATATAATGCTCAGTCTTATATCCCTTTCCACAAGTTGGACATAACACTGAAGGTCCTTCTTGATGTACCTTCAGATGCTTACAAAGGGAGTCATGTCCTGCAAACGTTTTGCTGCAAAATTCGCAAATGTATGGCTTTTCCCCAGTGTGTCTTCTCCTGTGCACCTGCAAACCGCCCGATTGTATGAAACTTTTATCACACAAATCGCATTTGTAAGGTTTTATCCCTTTGTGGATTCTTCTATGAATAATTAGAACGCTCTGAAATCTTCAAAACTTAAACGTGATGTAACCAATAACAAAAATGTATACTTACTTAAACGCTTTGTCACAGTCTTCACACTTGTAAGGACGTTCTTCAAAATGAGTCCTCCTATGGTGGACTAACAGATATTTCATTCCAAAACCTTTATTACATAAATCACAACAATAGGGCGGATCACCAGTGTGCTTATACCTGTGTGCAATATACTGATATTTGTACCTAAACATTAAACTACACTCTTCACATTTGTGTGTTTTTATAACAGGTTTCCTTTGTTCGTGTTTTTGCTTTTTTTTAACTGGTAAAAATTTAACATCTTTACATTCTTTCAAATAATTATTTTCAGTCTCATGACATTTCATTTCTTTAATGCTATTTGATTTAATATCTTCATCTTGAATATCAATATCTTCTTTTTTGTCTATTGTTTCACTTAAATTTTCAATAAAAGTGTGCTTACTTGGAGYTGTCTCACTAAAATTCAACACTGAAGATACTGCTGCTTTAAGCTTCATTACTATATTCTGGCTTTTTAATTTAGCATCTGATGTTATTATTAATGTTCTAAATTCAATGCAACGGTTCAATTTCTGCAAACATTCTTTACACACCAACTGGGGAAAGTTATCTTCAGGAAAAATCTACATAAAAAAACATCAAATATAAAAGAACTCACAGAAAGCAATAATTACTTTTACTTCTGGTGCTAAACTCATTACTAAATCACAGATGATTTCATTACCTCCCCCAACGATGCCAGATTTAAAAATATTAACAGAAGAGCCTGGTTCAGTTTTAATTAAACATAAACGACACTTCAAATCCATTTTATTAATTAAAAACTATTTATTGAGGACTTGCTAATTTAAGGTTATGTTGTTTTTGTATTTCCACCACTACAAAATCGTGAAAAACACTAACAAGTGGCGCGAGTGTTAAATTTCACCTCAATTAGTGACAATGTAGTCTTTAATAACAAACTCAATAAACTGTTCACAATTTATATTTAAGTTAAAGTTACAAAAGCACTTATAATGAAAATATTCAAATCTTTATTAGTAAATCCCGAGAGGTGGAGGACCTCCAAATACACAATTCCATGAACTTGGAAATTTTATGTCTGATACATTACACATTTTAAGGCCATTAACAAACTTGTTCAACACATTTATGTAAGCAATTGCGTCAGGTCTGTTGTCACCTTCTGATACATATTCAATCAAAACTGTACAATCAAAATTACTCTCCAACATCTCGAACAACTTTACTGCAAAACCAGCACCATGAACCAAGTATTTACCATTAAATTCCACTTCCTTGGGTTTCACATTCAAACTTTTCATAACATCACTAATTTCTTGATTACTGATGTAATAAAATTTGTTGCTACTAACCACATGCAACTCATAATCAAAAGAACTTGCGAGAATTACAATGCTTTTAATTTTAAATTCCGTAAACGAATTTTTTAAGCATGAGAAAAACTTGGTGGCAAGTTTGATGTTTACAGCGGATCGTAATTGAATGAGAGCTAGTTTTAAGTCTTCATTAACATATAATTCACATGCTGTACATATTTCTGGTCCGTCTGCTTGATATGGGTCTGGTCCAACGGAGGAAACGATAGCGGGGTGCCAAATAGTGGCTGCTTTCTTGAAATTCAGAGTTGTTATTAACAAGTCGATTGTAAGTTGAGGCACATTTCCGACAGAAACACTGGGTACAATTAAAGTGAAACCCTCCAAGTTCGGTTTTTGTTTAAATTTAAATAATTCTGCCATTATTACAACGTATTTTTATCACTAAAAGTAAGTATTTTGAACACAAAAAGTTAGGTTAATGACAAGCAAAAATTTTTGACAGCTACAGACTACACTTCCTTTGCGCTAGAAATAAAATGCGCAGTCTTTTCCCACTGATTTTATTTTATATAAAGTTTGCAAAATCCGTTGCATTAATTCAAGAAATATTTAAGCACTAATAATTTTACGTAAAAATTGTGATTTTACATTCATAAATAAAATCCAGAAAATACTTTTTTTGAAAACTTTATAACTTTCTTGCTAACTGAAAGTCATACAGTTAACACAAAATATTACAATCATCTCACTTTAAATACCTACGTTCATTGCCTGTTCTCATAATTGGTCGTTTTTAAACCAGATTGTTTAAAGATTGATTTACAATGCTGGATTACGTCTAAATTACACTAGGAAGTTGGTATATTGAAACAGAAACGACGCGACGTTAAGTGATGTAGGTTTACTAAAAGAAATACTAAAAATACGAACAGTTTATTGATAGTGTAATGACGGTACCTTTACAAACTTAGATTTACTATCAAAATAAAATGTAATTCTAAATATTCTTAGTCCTACATCTTATAAAACATAAATTAAAGATTTAAATAAACTCTTCAGGTTCCCTTGGAGCATCAAGATCTCGATAGTGAATGACCGGCCTATAATCACCAGCTCCACCCCTATAATAAACACTAATCAACAAAAGAAATTAATTTTTGACAAAAATTACCTCGATCTTGGTGTATAACCTCTAGAACGTTGAGAATACCCTTGATTATAGTATGGTGGCAAYCGACCATACCCACCAAACGAACTTCCATACGATGGATGGTTGTAAGAAGGTGGTTCTTCACGCTTCGGCTGAGGAGCCTCCGCTAACATCGGTCTTTTAGGATCTCGTAAATAGTTATTGAAAAATTCGACTTCCTTCTTTACTTCTTCGATTTTCTCTGCGTGCTTATTAAAGATGTGCTTCCGAACAAAATCAGGACCTACATCATAAAAAGTCAAAAATCAACAAGCCTTTTTCTAGTAACTTACCCTTGAATTTTTTGCCCGACAATGGACACAACCACTTGTCCTTGGCCAACTCTCTTGTATTTGCTTGAACAAACTTATCAATTTCAGTATCAACGTCTTTAAGAGACAAATTGATTAATTTCGTTTCGTTTTTATTTTCATCGCGAGGTTTTTCTGGAAGAAAACTAGCCATTTTTGTTTCGATAGGAGTCCCAATAAATTGCGTCATATCAGTCTAAAAAAGTAAAAATAAGTTTCGTAAATTACAAAGGGAAAGACATACTTTCGTAGTAGGTGGAGGTCCCCTCGCGTGCAAAATACCGCACCTATTTGGCATCTCATCTTCGTTGGGATATTCGCAGTGATTATAATAATCAACAGAGTGAACAATACGCAAATACAAAATAATTCGATCCAAAACTGAGATAAGATGTTCGTCTCTTTCCACCGTAGTGGCCGAATCTTGCGTTTCCGCCGTCGGTTCCAACCCCAAAAGTTCCTCCTCCTCGGCACTCGCCTCTTCGATCAGATAATCAGTAATATTGTGCAAAACGGGATTATTCGACACCAACCCGAACGTCTGTTGGGGCTTATCTTTTTTCTCTTCATCTAACCAAAGTCCGACTTTATTATCAAGATGCAGCGCTACTTTCGCCGATATTCGTATGTCCGACCGTACGACTTGTTTATGGGCCGTAATTCCGTTAACAGGTCGGATCCTCCGACTCAAATCCCGATTAACAATCGCACCCAATTCGCAATCCCTCAACCTAATATTATTCAAATTCCAACAGATCTCTTTAATATTCGCGTCTCGTTTAAATGTGACCCAACCGCGCCGCAACCACCGACGTTCTGGCTGGGGGTCGGCCAAAGCCACACGCAAAAAACCTTCATACCGGCCGCAAACCGCCTCAACTTCCTGCTTTGTAATAGTCGGCGCTAAATTACGCAAAAAAATTGACGTAGTCTTGTGTAACGATTTCGGTTTTTCTGGCTTGTCGTCTTCAACAGTTTCGATGTGCTCCTTCACTTCTTCTTTCGGTTTGTCTTTCTCGGTTTCTTCGTCCTCGTCTTCTTTCTTCTTGTCTTTTTTCTCTTTGTCATCTTCACTGTCGCTGCTGCTGCTCGACGAACCGCTGCTACTTCCCGAATACGAAGAACGCTTGCGTTTCTTCTCTTTTGACTCCTTCTTCACTTCTTCGCCTTCTTCAGGTTCGTTTTCCTTCACCGGCAGCTCGGCGTTCTCTGGATCTTTCTTCTCTTCCTCCACTTCCATTTTTTCAGGCTCTTTGTTTTCGTCAAGAGATGGCTGTTCCTCCTCCTTCTTCTCTTGTTCTATTTCACCATCTTCTGCAGTTGTTTCACCGTTTTCTTTTGCTTCAGTTTCATCAGGCTTTGGCTTTTCTGGAGGTTGTTCTTTCTTTGTACACTCGTCGTTTGGTTTTTCTGCAATTTCTTCCTTACTTTTCTCTTTGATTTTCTCTTCTAATTCTGGAAATGTTTTATAAATATTATTGCAACTGACTTAATTGTAATTTACTAATTTACCGGTATACTCCTGCTCCAAAACGGCTAGGTCTTCCTCAGTGCCACCTTCGAGTTTAATAACGACAGTATCTAACAATTTAAGTAAGTCATTTGTTTTTGAACAATCAACTGAAACTGCAATTTTCCCGTTGTTCATCAAGTCCAAGAACACCTCAACTCTTTTCTAAATAAAGTTAAATGTTAATAAACTCAATATAAAAATATCAAATCTTACCTTCAATGCTGTCATTTGTTCTTCTTTTCGCTTTACTGAATCTTCAGGATGGTACTTCAAACGGAACCTACAGGAAGACAAAAGAAACAATAAGAAAACAAAACAAAATCGAAAAAAGAAAACAAATTTAAAAAATCCATTCGCGCAAACAATTCATTCAGATGCGTTATGAAAAAAAATAATTATAAATAAAATGTGATCCAATTGTCAAGTGATGGATAAAAAATTATTGACAATTACACCACTAAAGAGAAAAAAAAAGAAATGGAAATGTATTTGAATAAAAAGCAATGTAATCGCATGCACACCAAGACGAACATAATAAAAATATCAGAATGCTGGTAACGGTAATTATTATATTCGTCTGATTTAAACAGACATACGTAACATACATGTACATATAATAAATTGATAATGTTTCTTCGTCGTGAAATCTCACCTGTTAATATAAACCCTAACAAAGTACGCGAAAGCATATGCATTGCGCGCATAGCTTTATCAACGGTTTAAAGAAATTCCACATTTCATATCTATATTCAATTCAATATATACTTTTAACGTAGTGTATTCACATGTTTTCACACACAAAACACATAATTATATTTTACGAAGATGTCAGGAAGTCTCGAATCAGTGCTGTAGAGAAAAAGGCGGTTTAAAGTAACATGTTGGGGAAAAATAGTTTAAAATTATTTAAACCTTAGCATTTACATTTAAATCTATCAAGTTATATCTGAAAGAAAATTTCTAGTGAAGGTGGATGTAACAGTCAATCATTACTTAACACAACTATGAGAAAAAAATAAAGTGCTACATACACCTTCGATTTGAAGCCCTGGCAATATTTTCCCTCAATTTACTTTCTTTTCGATTCAGTAATAAATTAGTAATACACACCATTCATCGTCTTTATGGGCAACAAAAAATTCGTTAAGTTGCTGTCGCTGGAACTCCAATTTGTAGTCATTGTATTTTTCGATAGCTTCACTATCGGAAATGTTATCATCTTGGGTGGCAAGGAATGCTTTAAATGACATCATTGGTGGTTGCTGACCCTCACCCTGGGATGATGGTGCAGGTTCTCTGAAGAAATTACCAGCTCTTTAAAAATAGAAGATCAAGTCGTTAGCAACTGTTATTTTAAATTAAAACCGAAACAAAACGAATTCTAAAATAACAATTAAAACATGCAACTAATTACGACTAAACAATCACGTAAAAATCATTCAGGTACAGCTTGAAAAAAGAATGTCTGGCATTTGCTATAATAATATGCAAACCATGCAAGAAGATAAAATAAAACACACAATAATTGTTATCAAGACATCGTAACGCAAATATTTCACATAATTTCCTATTCAAAAGTATATTTTAATTACGTAGCAATAAAATCATCAACTTTATATTTCCTTGTTAGTTGATTCTTATTAATCATTAAGCATAATTATCGCGAATAATATTAAATGACAATTTTCTTAGAGATTTTTTATTAAACCTTGAATGCAGGTGCAACAAACTTTCTTCTTTTCCATGCATTTAAGTAAAAACTAGAAAATACCTGTGGGAGCTCTGATGATAGGGCGAGTAATGGTTATAATAGCTATCAGCATAGTAATCATGGCGCAACCTCTTGGGGGCTGGATCAAGACTCGGCGAGTATCCCCTGTCTCTCACCCCTGGTCGGTACTCCCGAGGCCTAGGTCGTGACCAAGAATCACTATAACTTTAACACTAGGACCATATGAGCCTCATATTGATTCTTACCGTTCAGACCAGTCGTCTCTGGGCCTTGCTACCCGTTCAGCCCCCCTGTAAGTCGCCTCGGCGCGTTCACCTCTGAACTTATCGCGGCGTTTGCGGTCGTACTCATCATCACTATCAGCCATTTCCTGCAATTAAAAAGTGAGCACCAGCACTGAACACCATGAGGGAATAATTAATAATTGTGAGATGTAAATTACGGGTGGTGAGTTACTGATTTAGAAGGGTTGAGTCGGAGACTTACTTTCTGTTTTAAAAATAATACTTTTGGCAATTAGATATCCGGCGAGAATTTTCTTTTCCGTTTAGGAAGTTGATGCAAAAATTATGGCCGACACGTCAAAGACGCGTTGGGGGTTTCAGTGCAATCAACCTACTTTTGTGTGGTGGTATGACTGGTGACGCCGCTGGAATGTGTTTCTTTAAGTAAAAACACTGGCTAGTTTTAGACTATATATTATTGTTAAAAATACTTCTGTCATGCAACTGAATTGAAGAAAAAAAATTGTGACCCAAAATTTGTTTTTTTCTATTTTAAATTTTCATATCGGTTCCCCTATAAACCCAAATTTCCCTAGATTTGACTTGTGACGTCAGCGTTAAAATGGTGGACGTCCGTTCAGCGCATTGTGAAATCTCGTTGTAACGGTTTTATATACGTTTTCTAAAAATTTGTGAAATTGTTTGTTTAAATGTACGATTAACTAGACACTTTTCAAAATGTTTCCCACAAGGAAAATTGATGTCGACAAACACGTTGAAGAATGCTTGAAGAAGATAAATAACGAGACCGAGGTAAGGTTTTGAAATCGCTGTCATTCCGTTACGCCGGTCGAAATTTTCTCGTTTTTTTCACACTTTCAAAACATGCTTACTTATCAGAAGATGCATAAAAAAGTCATCGCCTTTATCGATTCCACTTGTCCTTATTTTGAAAATTGCGTATCATTTATTATTGGAAGATTGTCTCATGCATCAATATCACATGCAAAGAACCTTTGGCGGGAAATTATTTTTAGTTCATAAAAAAAAGTCTTAAAATACGCTTCGTGTTGGGTCTAATTTGCCAAATTTTAGGTAGTGTTGGCATGTTGTTCACCTTTTTGTTATGCAGCTGAGCCGGCAAGGTCACATTTAATCAATAAATGGGGTAAATCAACTGATATTGGGCTCTTTCAAACACAACCTATATTCATTGGGTTTTTACGTTTTGTTGCGATTATTGTTAATCTAATGGTTTCATTAAATCATAATTATATTTATTTCGTATTTTTTGTGCAGTATGATAAGCTGATAATAAAACTAAAAACTTTTGAAATATAACGGGTGTTTATTTAAATTTAGTGTCATAGTTGGCGGTGGTATAAGCACTGGTATGAGTGTTTTGTGAACGAATCACAATTTTTTATACGCCCGGCGAGGTGTCAAATGGATAGCTTTGACGCCAAATTAAGAAAACACGCTTTATACAGAGTGTGTCAAACAACTTTACGAAGCTTGCACCTAATGTATGCACTCAAATATACAAAAGTCACAAAACACTAGATACAAAAAAATACACATTTAATTATATAATTTTTGGAAACCCATGACAGTAGTTGTCAAACTAATCACTGTTACAGGAATAGTCATAAACAGTTTTTGAGAAACAATTACACTGGTCAACAAATTTGAACAAATTTTCGGTAACATTGATTAAACTACCTTCCACGTTTATGATTTTTCACTCTGATTTCGAAAATTTTCACAAAAATGTCTCATCACTTATCATTCGTATGTTAGCATGTTACCGTGTTAAAGCAAAAGAGTACTGAAAATAATTCAACTATTTAATATATTTTATTATGAGCATACAATATTTTAATAAACTAATTTTAGAAACATTAAAAAAGTCATATATTACAATAAAAGAGTGAAATCTCAATATTTTCTTTTGTTAGGTACGTTATTGTCGCGTTTTAAAAAAGCTAACAGTAATCGCCCATCATGGAAGGGTTTCAGCGGCCTTGATAGCGTCCTTTCATCTTTCTGATGTCTTGGTGAAACCTCTCCCCTTGTTCGTCACTGACAGCCCCCAGATTTATTGGAAAAAAATCCAAGTGGAAGTGCAGAAAATGTATTAATTAAATTATTGGTAAAAAATGCAACAAATAAACGGTACGTGTTATCAAAAAACTAAATGCATTTTGTTATTTAGGAAGTAAAAAACTACTATTGACCAAATTGTCATCAATGTTACCGAACCCTTGTTGACCTGTGTTATCATTTGTTCTATCAAGAGACGTCATGAATATGATTCTAGTTTCTATATCTTAATCACTAACTATATAAAAACGATGTAATTTTTGAAAGAATGAACTAGAGCAGATTATCCAATTTTTCAGAATTTGTAATCGAGTTCGTATCGGAATATGTATTATTGATTGCATCTTACAGGCACAGGCCTCGTAAAATTATGTAAAACAACCTGTGTAAGGGTGAATCTGCGAATTACATTAAATAAAATAGTTTACACGGAAAATAAATTTAAAAAAATATTTCTTGATTTATGTTTTGGTGGCGATATACCAGATACGAAAAATTGAAATTGTGTATTTTTGATTACAGCGCAATCTTCGCTGCTTGTCTTTCGCTAAGCAGTATTTCAAAATCGAGCGTTACGAGGACGCCCGTCGTTACGTCTCAACCTATCTTAGTGCAAGACCAAATTCCGCAGAAGCTCATTGCTTGCTCGGCAAATGCCTCGAAGCGCTCGGTCGTAAAGAAGCCGCTCTTCAAGCCTACACAACCAGCCTTCGGCTTGACTCTAAACAAAACAGTCTCGTTCTCAAAGGTATGTGAAAGCCTTTCATTTAGTATTCTTTTCGGCAACATTTGTTTTTCAGTTTGCGAACTCTTAGCTTCTGATGACGTTGAAATGGATCAATCCGGTGCTCGGTATTTCTGCGAAATGGCTCAGTCTTTCGACCCCCACAATCCTGCCATCTTCAATTTGAAACAACGTATCCTCACGTCGGAAAATGACGATCCTCGTGATGTTTCAAATTTGATTTTGAAAGAGTTAGAAACTCGGCCGACTGACGTCAAGTTGCGAGTACGTCTATTAAAACATCTTTTACAAAATCATTTGGTGAAAGAGGCGTACAAACATGCCGCTGATATCGAAGCTAAAGACTTGTCGATTTTTTGTAATGTCACGTGGTACGAGGCTGTAGCCGAGGTCTTGGTCAAGTACCAAAGGACCGTTTCGTTGCCTAATACTCTCGGATGGGAATTTTGGTTTTTGTCGGTTTCGGTTTTGGACAAGTTGGCCGCATTGACTCTGTCTGAAAACAACGAAAATATCAAAACAGCAACTGAATACATCAACGCAATATTCAACTTTGACCAAACTCTGACCAAAGCTGCATTAAATATCAGCGATTGTCCCGACAAACATCTCGTTCAGGAATTCTTGAATCATTACAGCGCGCAATTATGTTTTCATTTGGTCACTCTGGTGTTCAAACAAGCGCAAAAAGATCTCATCAAGTTCAAAGAAGCCGCCAATATCACCCTACCTCTACTTTTCGCATCTTATCACTCACAACCACCTGATTTGCAAAGCATGTGGTTTAACCACGCGCCGGAAAATCGTAGAAATTTATTACGGAGATGGCGAAAGGAGGCCGCCTTCAGGTGTTCACAAACTGGACATATTTTACAAGCGGCTGCCAAAGACCGGAAGTCTATACTTATCGAGAAAGCCAATCAGTATTCAGTGGGTATGTGGCGAGAGCAATTGTTTAAAAAATTGTTTGTAACGCGCGACCAACAACTGAAAATGAAAACAAGTTACTTTTTGAGCGACCAGAAACTGCTAGAAATTATAATACGGTTACCGGAAAGTAGCGAATTACTTAATTATGATGAAGAGGCACAACTGATATTTCCCGATTCTCTACACCACCATATTTGGATCGCATTAAATAACAAATTATCAGATTTGAAATGTACAGTTTTTGAAGGGTTGCAATACTCAGTCAAGAACCTGAAAAACTGTGGCGCTGAAACTTTGAACGTTTTGGACATTCAGGCGTTTATTTACTGCGCCACTTTRTGTGCCAAATACAATYTAGAAAACTTGCGMCACATTTCATACTACAACCTCGATAAACCCAATGTATTACCCGCCGCAGTTACGCAAGAGTTGGGTACTCTGAATCAAAATATTTTCTTCAAGGCTGCTTACAAAATGTACAAAAATGAATACGATTCCGGCTTGGATCAAATTAGACTGACTCTCGTAGACGGAATAAAAATTCTTCGGTGTGTGGATAACAGTTTAGATGTCAAACTTTTAGTAACACTAGCGCAAACGTTCGCCGAACGTTCCAAAAACACGACAAAGCAATCCGAAATTGAGTTTAACGAGGCGCGAGCCGAGTTATATTATAAAGCAGCGCTACCAATTTTGGAAAAAATGAAAAACAATCAAGCCGTTTCGCATCCTCCAAACAAACTGTTTAATTACAAATCAAAAGACATGTCTTTGACTGAAGTTTGTGCCCATATCGAGGCCGGGAAATTATTTAGTGGTTGCCAACTGATGAAGAAGAAAGAGTACGAGAAAGCGTTGCGCATTTTTGAAAGTTTGCGAGACCCGTACGCGAGTTTTTATCAAGCTCAGATCTACAAATACATGGCTGATCAGCAAACGAGTCAGAACAGGGAGAGTGTGACTTCGGAGATGCGTAGTCAGAATATAATTCTTCTTTCTCGTGCCAGGGATTGTCTTTACTTGACTTTGGATCGGCTTAGGGAACCTTCAGTTGATCAGAAACATCCTTTAAATGAGCAATTGGGGACTGAAATTGAGAAAATCGAGCGTCTTTTGTCTCGCATTGATCCGGATTGTACCAACAGAAATGAGTGTGATGGTATGTCGGATGAAAATGTCTCATCGCCTGATAGTACTGGTGATCATTACGTAACAGGATATACCGGCAATACTTCAAGTTATTTTAACGGAGTTTTTACACCTAGAGCTGAAAATCATAATCATTCCACACCTTACCGGTCTGATCTTTTCAAAAGGGAAGCCAAGCCGAGCCCTGAACGACTCGATGCTCAATTGAGACAGTTAACAGCATCGAAAGATGCAGCCATTACCCATATTTTAGAACATAATAAAATGATGATGGAGTCACACAAAACCTTAGTAGATGAGTTGAGAAGTTTCAAAGAGGCTGTTACTAATCTCACAGTAACAGTCGATGAACTTAAAACAATGAAACATAGTTATGAGGAATTGAAGGATGTGAAAAAATCGGTAAACGAATTAAAAGCGTCGGTGGATGAGTTGGATAGTTTTAAAAACGTGACCGATATGGTTTATGAGATGAAGAAGGAATTGACAGAGTTGAGGAAAGAGGTTAATAAGACTGGACAATTAAGCGATGAGGATATCTATGGCTTGGCTAATGAATACGGGGCCGAGTACAACTTAAATCCGAATTTGGCGGCTTACAATTCGAATTTGTACCAAAACTACCAAGCAAGAATGCCTGGAACATCCCTGTATGGGCCTCCTCCTTTGTACCCAGGAATGTATCCGCCTATGGCTTATGCCTATGGAGGTTTAGGCTTACCTCAAGGTGGTGCGTTACCATTCGGCCAAGAGCAAATTCCTGGCATTTCCGGTCAAGACTTCCGAGCTATTTCCGCCGCCTTATCACAAGTACAACAACCTCCAGTGACTTACGGCCAAACCACACCTCAAACTGGTCTCAATTTGCTTACCGCTCAAGGAATTTCTCCTGCTACCCAACCGACATTATTTAAGGACACTAAAGCCACGCCTACTACCAGTCAAAGTGTTTTTCCCACAATTGGAGGGGTTACTGTCACAACCACGCCTACTACGAAAGCTCCGCCTGTCAATGTCGTTATTACAGCTTCAGATCCTTTGCCAACAACTAAGGTTACAACCGCTCAACCGATCCTTTCAGTCACCATTCCACCACAACATTTGAAAGGAAACATTCCCAAGAGTCAACCACACAATTACCAAATTCCTCTGCCAACAACCACAACCTCAAATACTTCACCGTCAGTTTTGAGTAAACCTCCACCAGCGATTTCGACTCAAAGTATTTTATCAAATATTGCACCTCCTGTTTATTCCGCCGTTTCCGATAAAACTCCGGTCAATGTAAGTTTGGGATTACAAATCGAAAAATCTTTAGAACAGAATTTCAACTCAAGTAAGAACGACTCGTTGAATAAAAGTACCGTTTCGACGGGTTCGATTGAAGAACATGACCCGTGTCCCGATTTCAAACCGATAATTCCACTTCCGGATGAAGTACCGGTTATAACCGGCGAAGAAAACGATATGGTTTTGTTTTGCGAACGCGCTAAACTTTTCCGTTACGTCACCGAGAGTAAGGAATGGAAAGAACGAGGTGTTGGTACTTTGAAGATTTTGAAGAATCCAGATACGAAGAAAGTTCGGATTTTGATGAGGAGGGACCAAGTCTATAAAATCTGCGCTAATCATTTTATTACCAAAGAAATGGTTCTGACTCCGAATGCAAAGTGTGATAGAGCTTACATTTGGGCTGCGCACGATTATGCCGATGAAGAAGTCGTTTTGGAAAAGTTGTGTGTGAGATTTAAGACGTCGGAAGAAGCGAAGAAGTTTTACGATGCGTTTGAAGCGGCCAAAAAGGAGTTAAAAGAAGGAGAAAACAATGTTGAAACGAGTAAAGAGGCAACACACAAATCTAATTCTCTTGGTGGCTTTGTTTTCACGAGTACTCCGACGTTTAAACCGAAGGAAGATAAAGTTGCTACACCCGTTACCAAAGAAGAGCCGACCAAAGCAAGTCCTTTCTCGAATTTTGTTTTTGGATCTACTAAAACCACGAATTTTCCTACTTTCCAAACTCACTTTTCGCCAGTACAAAAACAAACTGAAAGTCCTAGTAGTAAAGCTAAAGAACCAGTCGATGATGAGTCTGAAGAGTTTGTTCCAACGGCTGAATTTAAACCAGTCGTGCCTTTACCAGAATTAGTCGAAGTTAAAACCGGCGAAGAGAATTGCGAAGTCTTGTTCGAAAGTCGAGCGAAAATTCTGCGCTTTGATACAAGTGGAGAAACAAAAGAGTGGAAGGAGAAAGGAGTTGGTGTTTTCAAATTACTTAAAGACATAACGACTATTAGATTAGTCATGAGGAGAGACCAAGTGTTGAAAGTCTGTTGTAACCATCAATTACTTAAAAACATGGAATTTAAATTTATGGCAAATAATCCGAAAGCATTGACTTGGTGTGCTAAAGACTTCTCAGAAGGAGTGCTTAAACCGGAAACGCTCGCTATAAGATTCAAGACTGAGGAGTTAGCAAATTCGTTTTTGAAAGCTATCCAGAGCGCCCAAGAGTCCCTTGATGAAAACAACTGCGTATCGAACAAAACTCTAAAAACCGAATCTCCTGTTAAACCGACCGGTTTCGGCGATAAGTTTAAACCGGCAAAAGGAAGCTGGGAGTGCAAGAATTGCTTTGTTATAAATGACGGCAAGGCGAACTATTGTGTGGCTTGCGAGACACCTAAAAATGATACAGTTCCGAAAAAAAGCGAGAGTGACGCCTCCGGAGCTGCATTTTCGTTTGGGGTTGGTGTGTCCAACTCGTGGGGTAACGCTTTCAAGCCTAAGGAAGGTTCATGGGAGTGCAAGACTTGCTACATCAGAAATGACGCAGATAAGACACATTGTATGTCATGCGAGTCGCCCAAAGATGACACAATTCCGAAAAAAGAGCCTGAAAAAGGGGTGAATTTAGACACTGGTGGTTTGAAGTTTACGTTCGGTGTTCCGAAAAGTGTTGATAAGCCGGCCACTGGTTGGGGGGATTTATTCAAGCCGAAAGAAGGGTCTTGGGAGTGTAAAAATTGTTTGATTCAAAATACCTCTGATGTGGTTTATTGTGTGGCGTGTGAGAGTCCGAAAGATGATACAGTTCCGAAAAAGGAAGGTCCGAAAGGTATCAATTTAGATACGCCGAATCAGAAATACACTTTTGGGATACCATCAACTCAGACTCAAACCGGGGCTAAAGCCACTTTTACTTTTGGTCAGAGTAGTATATCCACTGAGAAACCGTTTGTTTTTAAACCTAATGTTAGCACAGAGAAGAAAGACAGTTCTGCGAATGAAAAATTTGTGTTTGGATCGCCCCAAAAGCACGATTTTGAATTTATTCCGAGATCGCCGAGACGCATAAGTAGCGGAGGAAAAGACGAGGAGTCTGATGCTAGTTATGTGGAGGAAGAGTGTGATAACATTTACTTTAAACCGGTGATTCCGCTACCGGATAAGGTCGAAGTGAAGACGGGTGAGGAGGAGGAAGAAGTTTTGTATTGTCACAGAGCAAAGCTTTATCGGTTTGTTGATAAAGAGTGGAAGGAGAGAGGAATCGGTGATTTGAAGATTTTAAGGAGAAAGGATAACGACAAATTGAGGTGAGTGTTGAGATATCGTTAAAAATAGTCATTTTTTGATATTAAAAATTGTAGGGTTTTAATGCGACGAGACCAAGTGTTTAAGATTTGTTTGAATCACATTCTCACTACAGATATTAAGTATTTGCCTAAGGATGATAAAACGTGGCTGTTCCATGCATCGGATTATTCTGAAGGCGAAATAACCGAAGAACAATTTTGTCTCAGATTTAAGAATGCTGAAATTGCTCAGGAATTTATGAAGGCTGTGAACGATGCTTTGAGTGGAGCATCAAGTGATACAGGTAAGATGCCAAAGTGTAGCGATGGAAATTGTAAATTAGTTATTTCTCTCGCTACTGTTACAATTTTTCTTATGACGTCGTATTATTTGTATAATAGAAGGTCCAATTAAATAGTTCTTATCTGAATTGTGAAGATTTTTGCTCAATTTTATTATTTATTTGATCCTGGATCTGATCTTGTGATATATTTCAAACGTATTAATGGGATGTTTTTATTGCAATAAACTAGTGGTAAGTCTATAAAATCAATCAAAATTATGAGATGTATGTATTATCGCGTCCAAAAAAGATGGGATATTAATGTCATTCGGTTGATGTTGTTAAATGTAAAAGGGTTCTAAAGAACAACCTCACTTTAACCTTACGTTAAGGACTTACCGATCTCAGACATTAGTTGGAGTCTTCGCTTCGCTCCTCCTCCAAACAATTGTCTTCGATCGGTAAAATGTCGTTACCGTTCTTGATGCTTAATATACTATTACGTATGTTTCTAGAATTTTGGGTGTTTTGAAGGTTTTGAAAACTCAGAGTTGACGTTAATAATATACCTATGTTAAAAATTATTTTAAAAGTTTATAAGAAATTATTACTAAAATTATCTATTACAATTACATACTTATTTTGCGAAAGCAACAAATGTCGGAATTGTTTTAATGTTGAGAAGATCAGAAAACCTAGTGGTATTAAATTCAAATTGCATCCGAGTAATTTGAAGTGACTCTTATAAAATCAGTGGCTTCTTTTTTTTTAATTACATGTATAGTTTTTATATCAGTGTATTAAGGTGTAAACTAGTTTTTGGATTTTTTTTTTACGTATATTACAAACTAATCGTGATTATTGTTTTGTTTTAACCGAAATTAGTTAATCACTCACTGATTTAGAGGAAGTTCAATACCTCGTAATTTTGAAATTTTTTTAGATTTACCACTCTTTACCCTTTTTTATATCAATTTTGTTTCTGAATTTAATTTTTCTATAAAGAAGTTTATTTTTAGCTCGTTTTGAAGAAAGTATTTTTTTTAATTTTGCGCAGTTATACGAGTATATGGTTAATTGCTATAAAAAAATAATTGCAATATTATTTTTCATTTACAGTGTGTCCTCGGATAGGTGAAACGACTCTTGTAAAAGATAAAAAATTCTCTATTTTTTTGGGTTTAGCTTTTCTTGGTTAATTTCCAACATAATTTTAGAAAAATTAAATACAAGGTGTCCGGAAAATTGAAAGAGAGTAATTGGGTAGTCCCCCAGAGTAAAAAATGTTTAAAAAATTGTATCTGTCATTTATCTTCTCACATTTGTGTTATGTTTTATGTCTATTTAATGACTATGAATGAATAAATGAATAATTATGTCTATTTAATGACACTGATGATTTTGTATATTTTTTATAATTATTTAGTAAAAGTACAAAAACTTTGCCAATAAAAGCCACAAATAACTTTAAACAGAGGAAATTTAGGATACAGTTTCCTTGTTTCCTCTTGTGATAGTCTGTAGAAAAAAAAACTTGGAGAATTATTTTTCCAACAGAAATAAATGGAGCTAAAGTAAAATTTAAACTTTCATAACTTCGAAATTTTTATGGAGATTTTTTTTTAAACATTTTTCTTGTTGTCTAGGGCACCGCCCGATGACACAGTGTCACGGAGGTGCGCGACTTTCTGGACACCCTGTATGTTTTTGGAAATTTCAAAAAACCTATTTTTTTTTAGAGTAAAGTGCCTTTTATGTGGCAAATATTACAAAAAGTTATTAACAAAAGTTTAGAGATAATAAATATAAAAAGAACAAAAATTATACTTGGTTGATGATTTTAAAATTTGACATAAGGTTAGATGTTCATTCTAAACAACTTTTCTTAATAACTTTTACACATACACATAAAAGCCACGTTACAGAAAGATATTTTTTTGAAAATTTTCAAAACTAAAATTATGTTTGAACTTAATCTTTAACCAAGCGGGGCTGAACCCCAAAAAGTTAAAATTTAAATCGAGATTTTTTTATCTTTTACAAGGGTCTTTTTACGTTTCCGGGGATAGGTATATCCTGTATACCCCCAAAAGTTGCATGAAAAGTATGCTTTTTGAGCTTTTCTTTTTTATAGTATTTCAAACAATGTATTATCCTAACAATGACCCAGTAACTAATAACAAAACTGTTGTAGCATGTTATTAATTCCATTACAATGTGATATAACTGTCTCATTTAAAAAATTGGTAAATTGTGAGAATAACATTTTTATTACGTAATTATCACACTTTACTTTTATTTTCATGTTTTTTCTTTATTTAATATTAGTGGTATTGTTGGTTTTGTTTGGTACATTTATAAAAGAATAAATAAAATTTGTAAAAAACAATTGGATTTTTATTTCACCAAATAATCCCAGTAATACCTAAATCTATCAAAGCACGATACTAATACTAATAATAGGTAAAGCTAATCCTTAAATCTTTGAAATCCTCATTTATTTAATATTTTACAGGCAAAAAACTTGAAGAACAATCAGAAGAAGATGAGGTCGAATTTATTTCTGAAACCAAAGTAACACCCGAAGAAGAAAAGGAAGCTCTCAAGTTAATGTTGCCTTCGAAGTTTATGTCTTATCGTCAATTACCCGATTGTCAATGCCTACAGTGCAAAAAAGACGACGAATATTTGAAAGATCTCTTCAAAACAATCGATGAAAAGTCGACTGCAACTCCTCCAGTTAGTCAACTTTTTATCAAGGATGCTGATACGCCATCTGTGAGTGAATCTTCTAGCACAAGTTCGATTTTCACCACTCCGAAAGAAGAAGTTTTTAGTTTTAAATCAGCTGCTGAATCAGTATCATCACCTGCGGATAGTTCAATCACTCTTAAAAGTCTTCTTAGCAAACCGTCACTCTTGGTCACTCCTTTATCCGCTTCCAGCGGAACATTAAGTTCTGCCAATAATTCGTCAAATATTTTCTCTTCTCCTACAACCACAAGCAGTATATTTGGGGTAAAGTCGCCCACAGTCTTCCAAACAGCCGGTGATAACAAAAAGGAATCGTTCACATTTGGAACTAGGACCCCCGACACTACCTCTTCTGGCATTTTCTCATCATCAGCGACGACCGCGAAATCAACTGGAAGTATTTTCGGACCCAGTAGTGCATTCGAAAGTGGCGGAAATATTTTCGGCTCGAAATCGACTCCAGTTTTCGGCTTCGGAAGTTTTGCTACTACGACTCCAACGACCACAACGTTTGGTAGTCTTTTTAAAACTACTGGTAGTCTCTTCAGCACTCCTGCTACAACTACAACCGGGAGTATTTTTGGGGGTTCACCGGTAGTTTTTGGCAAAGGTGTGGATAAACCAATATTCGGAGGAGGCGACAGTCTGGCAAAAGCGACCGAATCTCCAATCAGACCTGTTTTTGGTGCCTCGATTACTGAAACTGAAGTGAAAACAACAAATTTGAAGGAAGAAGATGCTCCAGTTTTGAACGCCGATTCTGGAATGACCTTTGCAAGTTTGGCGGCGAAAAGTACAGACAAACCGACGTTTGCCAAAGAGAAAAATGGTAAGTTGTGTGAAATCATGTTGCGGTCATTGTAATATTTTTTTTTTGCAGATACTGAAACACCGTTTGCGTTTTTGGGTGCCGGGGCTCCAGTTTTTGCCTCAGTTAGTCCTGATAAGAACAAATCAAAGACGGCAGAGGAGGCGGAGGGTGGAGGAGATGAGGAGTACGATCCTCATTATGACCCCATAGTGCCTCTACCAGACGCCATTGTTGTGTCGACAGGTGAAGAAGACGAAGAGGTGGTTTTTAATGAACGGGCGAAGCTGTACAGATATGACGCTGATAATAAAGAGTGGAAGGAGAGAGGAGTAGGGCAGATGAAGATTTTACACCACCCAGGCAACAGTAATAAGACATTTTATATAATTATTTGATTTAAGTTGAACTTTTGTTTTCGTAGATACGTACCGATTTCTATTAAGGCGTGAACAGGTTCACAAAGTGGTACTTAATCAGTTAATTATCCCAGATTTGGAGCTTCAACCGATGACAACTTCTGATAAGGCCTGGGTTTGGGGGGGCTATAATTATACGGATGATGGTTCGGCGTTAGAAAAGTTAGCTGTAAGATTCAAAAATTGCGACTTAGCTCAAAGTTTTTACAAAAGTGTCCAAGACGTGCTAGAAAAAGTTAAAAAAGCTCAATCAGAGAAATCAAATACTAAAACTGAAGAGCAAGTTGACTTAACGAAACTTATTCCGTCTTCTATTCAAAATTTTGGAGTTGAAGAGGTGAGTGGGGATGAACAAGCTGGTAAAGATGTGTCCTACGAGGAAGAGGAAGACGAGGATGATGACGATGAGGACGATGATCGGTAGGTCGTTGATGTTTACTTTTATTTTATAGGCTATTGTTACTTTTGATTTGTAATTTTATTGTCTAAATTAATGTATCTTATTTTTGAAATAAACATTTCGAAAAAAAATTGCTTTCAAAATTTGTGGTTATTTCAGTACTGTCATGTTCATGAAACGGTGTACTCTCAGCGAAGAGGTAAATGGCGAGTGGAAAGTTGTAGGTCTTGGTGATTTGCAAGTTTATTATGATCCGGATCTCTACGCAGCGAGAATTTGTATTAGCAACGATGATGGTGAAGTTGTGAGCAACACGGTTATAGAGAAAAACACTGTTATGGAGGTAGGTTTTAAAAAAATAACTGCTTTGTCGCTACAATTTTGTTATAGTTGGATAAGAATAACTGCACTTGGAGTGCATATGAATGCTGTGATGACGACTTCCGCAACAGGACACTCAAAGCTACGTTTAGTAGTGTCGCAGCGGCACAAGAATTTCACTGTAACTATTTAGAAGGCTTGAATTACGCTCATGAGTTTGACGTTGTGAATGAAATTCCGGTAGCGACTGAAGAAGAGACTGAATCGTTAGATCATTAATCGCTGATTTGAATTTGTCTTTTTATATATTTCCACATCTGTTCCTTTTACAAAGTTTTAGTCTAGGAATTTTATAGAAGTTAGATTTTACGCAAATAAAAACTAGAACTAATTGCTGTTTTTATTTAAAATTTTCTAAAAGTTATATCGTAAAAAAATAGTTAATTTTGTACCAATAGTACGCCACCACTACCCAAAACCCAGCGCCCCATAAATTTTCAAAGAGGGCGATCAAATGGGTTCCGTGGTCTTTATCACAATTGACCAACCAGCGTACAGGAATGTGGCCGTAAGTCATTTGGTGGCCAATGTAAAGCAAAATTGCGTTCATTCCCGCGAAGAGAAAGGGTTTGCCACTCCACCAGTTTTTAACGTCGATTAGTACGTAACAAATTGAGAGGAGGAGGAAAGCGAAACAACTCGTCACTAAAACGAAAGATATTGACCTAAAAGAACGTAATTATCAGAACGAATATTCAGAAAATTAAAATACCAAAGATTTTTATTTACGGGGATTACCCCATCTTCCTTGCTGAAACCGCATAGAGCGCCTCCTATAATTCCGGCAAAGACACTCCAAGATAACCAACGAATTAAACGAGCGGAATGTTCTTTATACACTAATAAAGTAATTCCGGCTTGAACCCCAATAAATACGTGGACGATCGAAGTTAAACACCCTGTATAACAAGTAATAATTTTTTTAATGAACCAAAAGAAGATTTACCTTTCTTATTTTGTTATATTTTAATTGTTTCAATTTTTTAGAATTCAAAAAATCAACACTACCACAAATTCAAACAACACGTACTGTTAATAATTTGCTTCAGTTCAAAATTGTTGAGTAACTAGACAGTTTGTCTATTACAACTATTTTCTCGTTACCTAAAATTCCCTCAGGATCAAACGCTTGGGCTCCCAAATAAATTTCTTTGCTTGTGGGTTTTTGGTACCTGTGTTTGCCCAAAATGACGGCATCAATATAACCCGTGGCTCCCCCTGTGCAATTAAAATATTTTCCGTTGTCGTGTAATCCACCTGGCCCTAAATAGCCGCTAAAATTGTTTTTTATTAAAATTAAAAAAAAATCTGGCAGTTACCGGGGACAGTCTTCGTCCGCTAAAAGAAACAAAACCATACAGTGAACGAACAATATGACCAAAACAACAATCCAGCCTTTCCATAAAATCAAAATGTCGGTGACGAATTTACCGATTTTGTGCTACAAACGGTTATTAAATGCTAGAGTTTTGAAATGCCAATTGTGAAAAAATACATACTTTTGATTCGGAAAATTCCCGTTTCATAAGGAAGAGACAAATCGTGGTGACTACAAGATAACATATCCCAAATCTTTGTAAGACACCAAATATTCTCATGCATTCTAAAGTAGGTCCTGAACCCAAAAATATGCCCAAACAGAATAATTTTATCGATCTCTAGAAAACCAACTATTTTATTAAACCAAAGTTATCGACATTTCTACCTTCAAGACATTCAAAAAAATGTCCGTATTTGAAATTTGTTTCTTAAAACTTGAAGTCAACGAAATAGGCGTGCAAGCGCCCATAATCCACATAAACCATGGAAAAACCAAATCGGCAATATGTAAACCATTCCAACTCGCATGATCCACAATTAGGTATCCACCTGCCCCGTAATTTACAAATATCATAATCACGATACTGATCCTAAATTCAAGTAAATTACACTAAAAAGCAAGTAATTTTGGGCTTATTTACCCTCGAAACGTGTCAAGTGATTTGACTCGTTTTTTCCCTTCGGGTTTCTTCTCTTTAATTTCGTTTTTGTTCACAAAGTGTTTCCATAAATATACAAGACCAAAGACGCCCAAAAATAGGACACAATAAATTAGAAAAACTGTAAGAACAGCTGAAAATTCACCAAACTGAATATAATTCAAATTATGATTTAAGAAACTTACGAAAACTTATGCTTACTGCATTTTTGATTGTGTTTACCATACAATGATTCGCTTTAGTTACATTCACTTCGTATATTCCGAATTCTCCAAATTCGTCACCAAACTCACAAACATATTTATCCCAAGTGTACAATATTTCACTATTTGTTGTGCTTATCCGGTACAAGTTGTTTGGGGTTTGATTCAAAATTAATCTAGTATTGTCTAATAAAATAGAGTCATCCGTTTCCAAGTCTTCCAGTTTGACAAAAGGACACTAATTGAAGAAAAAATTAATAAAATTAATCACTCACCTGATACAAACCTTAACACAATCGACATGTTTTCGAAAAATTCTGTATGTTGCGGTTGGGTCTTCAAGATTTATTGAAAGATAAGCTTGGTCTATTTTGAGTAAGGACATATCGTAGCCTTTATAGTCATTTTGTCCATAGTCTTCAAGCCAAGATAGGTCAGTCATTGCTATAGGAAATAAAATTATGAAATGCATAATTTTATTGCTATTGCGATAATTAAAAATGATTAATTAAATAATTTCTATAGGAAATAAAATCATAAAATGCATAATTTTATTGCTATTGCGATAATTAGAAATTATAGCTACAATCAAAATGCAATTACGTTTAAATTAATGTTAGCACTCAATTTAAAATTTGATGTTCTATTTAAACAATGCTTGACTTATTCCAAATGAATTGATAATAAATATAGATACCTACGCTATAAAGGACAGTAAAAGTCTAATATCGCACGTCACTGAGATAATATTGTTTCCACTATACCTAATTAGTAAATAGCTCCAATTAATTTGTATACCTGTCATCCACGTAAATATTATATAAATACACTAAATTTTTATTAGTTAATATTCTTGATAACATTGTTATGAAAGATGAAAGCAAAAATTCGCGAGCACAGCCTCGTATATATTAGCCAGTTTTTATTTTTTTGTTGGTATTGGTAGTCACTTGACCATTATAACCCGACGTTTATGCCCAAGAGAAAAACGCTACATGACTTTACAATGGGACATACGGAAGAGCCCCTTGAGAGAAAGAAATATTGTAAATTTCCTCAGAGGTTTTGATAGCAACAGCTGGCCATACAGATGTTCTCCGATTATTGTAATTGTGCTCTTTCTAGCGTAGAACTTAAATATTAACATTTATATGAGCCTCACATATTTTATTACGTGTTTGCCTTGTTTCAAATGAGTAATTGCGTGGATGAGTTGGAAAATGTTAAAAATTGAAATTCTGTAGGTGAGGTGATGAAGGTAAAAAAAACTTTCACAACTGTGTCAAATGTAATCACAAAATTGTTTAATTGCTTTTCGTTACCTTATACGGCACGGTTTTATTTTTAAGACCAGTAGGTAAACAACTCATTAATTAATTAATAAAATTTAATTAATAATTAAAATTTGTTTGCGGAATTTTTTATTTTTTGTTAACATGAAAATAAAAAATGTATTGGTACTTACTTTCAAAACCACTCTGCTGCACCGATAAAGCAATTGAAAATAATTTGCTGTTTAGGTATTTTACAACATAACAATACTGTTATCCGTGAACGGGCCTTGATAAGATAAAAATGATAATTCTACAAGAAGAGTTTTTAAGTTACTGCTTATGCTATGTTGTTGCCACTTAGAGTTAATCTGAACCCCCTCTCTTACTCACTAGGGGGACTATTATGAAAATTAGTCTAAAATTTTAAGAATAGTTCAAGCAATTGATAATAATTTGATTATTATCAGCACATATTTTATTGTTCTAAGTAGATCACTCATCTTCAAGTGACAAAGAGATTAGTAAAAATTTTGCTTATTGTGCTAGAAATTTCACGGCATGTTGAATAGGAGTGAGTTCTGCTTTCACTTTTACAAGTGTACCATGTCAACGTAAGACGTAATCAAAGAAACATAAATGAAAAGTCAAGGTTGTGAATATAGGTTTCAAAAAATAATAAATAACCGTAGACCAGTTACATATTTTTTATTGTTAAACATTCATCACATGAAAATACGTGCTGTTATTTACAATACTTTTAAAATGCGATAGAACTTGCATTCAGAGGTTTTATGCAAGAAGTGGTGGAAAGGACGGAAGATCGACAACTTCTTGCATAAAACGATTAAAATCTAAACCTACTTAAGAGAATGAACAACTTTTGCTTTATTGTATTATTTCTAAAGAGGCGAAAGTCCAAACGAGTTATTTTAATTTTCGCTATTTTTTAAAATCCTAAATGACGAGACAGCTGTTAGTTGTCCATTTGTTGATGAATGGGGTGTTGCGGCTGCATGTGATGTTGCAGTTCGAGAGGAATCATCATGCGATCACACTGAAAAAAAGTTAAAAAAACACTTCAATCAATTTAATTAAAAAAATTTTTGGATGCAAAAACGCATTTTTAATTTACTTTCTGTCTGTTAATCTACTAACAAACAAAAAATAGATAAACAGATTTTGTCTCTAAGCTGCTCAGTCCCATGCGCCGTGTCTGATTTTTCATCAATCACAATCCAATCTGAAAGTCCGTAATTAAGTTAATTGCTTGTTCGTCAAATGAGCAGATAAAGCTCGCGGAGCTTTTATCGAAAGTGGCCACGAGAAGGCATTAGACAGTTTCCGTTCGATTGGCTTCCGTTACTTAAAAAAATATTATTCCTACCAATGATGTATCTTCCGGGCAAACATGTACCGAAAGACCGTTTGTCGGGGGCGGCCTGGACGGGGGCTGCGGCGGATGGGGCGGTATGTCCAGCATGGCAGGAACGTACGTGGCTCCTGGGAGACATTTGGAGCACTGGCGACGCAGCGCTGGACGTTGGCGGGAACCCCGGCATCGGAGAGCGAAGCAAAGTTCGCCCCCCATTTCCGAACAGAGCGACTGGTGCGGAGCACTGGCCGGACGCTGTAAATTTCAGTTTCGAGGGAACATAGTGAAAGATTTCACGTCATAGATATAACGACATTTGAGGAGCAGACTTTCAAAATGCAGTTGAATGTTTTTACGAATTGGGATAAAGGTTTTTCAAGTTATTTGCAAAATGCCTAAGTACTCCAGCCGTAAAATTAGTGCCCCTATTGTGTCCAATTTGTATACATATTTTTTCACATTTATTGTCACTGATGTAAAAAATTAAAACTATTTCTTAAAACAAGGACAGTTTTTGTTCTCTCCTGCAAAAATGCAAATTTTTGACAAAATGCTTTTTTAAAGTCTGCTCCTCATTTAATCAATGGTGTAAAAATTTGTAGTCTAAAAAATTGAAGAGATTCCAGCCCATTAATTTTGTTTTTTTTTTATTAGTTATTAAATATCTGTTTTTTTTTAAATTTTTGATTGTCCGATGCTTCATAAAGATACCCTTTATTATAATAATGTTAAGATTTAACACTTATAGAGGTATAGAGGGGTGTCATTCCAGAATCCCATCATTCAAAGATAATAAGCAGCAACTTTTTTATCTACATATCATTATAAATAACTGTTTATAGATAACCTTATATTTTTTTTAGAGATTACATCTACAATATAAGATACAAAATATTGTTCTTTTTTGTTGTTTTAATGAATAAGGGTTTCTAATGTTTTTCTGCATACGAAAATTATTATTGAACTTCACTATACTCAACATCGCCATCAGTTTATTAGACTGAGTTTTATTTATGGATGTTCTATAGTGTATTAAGTTTCTCACTTTATCTCTCATTTTAAGTATATTAACTTTTTCTTTCAAAAACAAATATATTTTTGTATTCTATTTTTCTTATTGTTGTTTTTTATTATTTTTTTTATAATTTTAATAGTTGCACAAACAAAACACTATAAATTAATCTTTCTTCGAGCAATACACATGAAAGAAAGTTTCCTTTCAGATCTTTTATACATTTATGTTGGTATTACTTTCAAGACTTGAAAACAATAATTACGGGAAAAAATTATTTCTTCTTCCCAATTTTTGCTGAACAACAAACAACCGCAGATATACAACAATGGATGTATTGTTATCTTGTAGACGATTCTTCGAATTTTTAGAGCAAAAAAAATTTTTTGCGCCATTTTTTAGGATTGCGTAATAACCGTAGACCAGAAAAGTTTTTTGTTAAAGATCTCAACACAAGAAGCTTCAAAATCTCATTTTCTAAATCTAAATACAAGTTTTCAAAAATCAAAAATTTTTTGGAGTAGTATTTAAAAAGTTTATGTAGAATGTTTTGTCGCTTTAAATATCTGAGATAATAACAATTTTTTTCACTGAAAAGCTTGATTTAAAAATTGGAAAAATAAAATAGATATTTAATATAAACAATAAATCTGATTCATTTTCTCGAAGGGTAAAGGAGAATAATAGAAAATTTAAGACATCTTTGATATTTTAAAGAATGTAACGTTACTAAAAAAAGAGTAGAATAAATACGAAATTCCAAATATTATTAAGAGTTATTATTATTATTTTAAATTAAAAATTATTTTCAATGGGTGCATCCGTTCCAATGCACCCATGTAGTTTGCGCCAGTGATTTTAGTACATTAAAAAACAAATTTCATAAGACTAGTCTTGAAACACAAATTCAAGATTAAAAACGAGTAGCGTAGCCATGAATTATTTTAAAGAATAAGTGCTTTAAGGTCTTATGAAACAAGGTTTTTATGTTATTTTTTCTAATTTATCCTCTAATTTTAAATGATTTTGTCGCCTTTTGGCTACTAAGACGTCACGTTCTTTAATATGTCTATTAGGGAATCAAAATGGAGGCAAATTACAAAGAAATATATTAAACATTCTAACTATGATTCAAGTCGTCTATTTAAAATAACGTTAATGTCTTTTTTGTTTTACTTTTTTAACAATTAGACATTTGTGAGCCAAGAGAGTTTAATTTAATTGTTAAAAGAGCTGGAATTACTCCGCTATCAGTATCGCGAGGAAGCTCTAAGGACACAAGCTTAATAGTAAATGAAGGCGCAATTAAGTCTGATTTATCGAAAGAACAAAGCGAGTTTTTTTATAAAACTTGTATCTCTGTAAGACGAATCAGACTAATAAAGATTAACTGTAGTATTTAAAATTATTTGAGCTTACTTTTTCGGTGAGTGCGTTTTTCTTGGAATTATAGCAGAATTCGCAGATTGCGATGATGACGGCAAAAGCGAGGCCGCAAAGTAGCACAACGAAAACTCCTCCGATGTTATCGACACCTAAAGAATTTGCTTTGGACTCTTTTCCCTTCTCGTTCCTGCTACATGTCTCTCCCGTATTCTTCCACCATTTGTCGTACAGCATTTGAATCTCTCCCTTTTCCTGTAACTCTAATATTGCAAGTGAGATCTTATCCCGCCACGGGCTTCCCATGGGGGTGGCTATCCCGTATCCTTTCGAATCCAGGAGGCCTCCGATTTGGGTCAAATTGCAGTCACGTTGGACGGTGTAATCTAGCATCGTCGATTCCATAAGAAAAGCATAATTCCCCTCTAGCACCCGCTGGATGCCCTCCTCATAAGTGGGGACGAATACGGATGGTTTCCGGTTCTCCATAAAGCGCCACATTTTCTTGTATGTCTCTATCATGGAGTCCTGAGAAGGATTAAAAATTTAGCGAATGTTACCGGCGGCGAAAGTGGGCTATTGGCAAGGATGAAATGGGTACTCACTCTAAAGAAAGTCATTGTCGAGCCGCTTTCAAGTGTTCCGTAAGGAATTTCAGTCTGACCTGCGAGATCCTCCGCATTTTCGATGGGAGTTATCATACGCTCCACGGTGAGGAATGCTGCCAAGTTCGCCGTGTACGAGGAGATTATTATCAGGGTGAAGAACCACCAAATACCGCCAACTATTCGCGTAGAAGTTGCCTAATCAATCGAGGAATTAGTAAAATATATTTATTTTAAGACGCACATGGTCCGATTATAATCCTATCAAGTTTTAAAATCAACAGAAATATACTCTTCGGGTGAGCTAACATTAAACTCGATTTTCTTTTTCTGGTAGTAAAATAGTGCAAGTGTTCTATTGCTCTCTTTAATGAGATCTTACTAACGTTGAATTACGGGATACTTGCCTTTTTGTGGGTAGTAAAAATTTAGAAAAAGACTTTCAAGATATAACTTTTCTAGCATATGAACCTATAACGGTTTTATGGATTGTAAAATGTAAATAAATTTAGGAAAATATTTCATAATAAAAGTTTGTAAGTGAAATTTAATTTTTTTAATATTTTTTTTTCGTTAATCACAAACTCCTAGTTTTACTGGGAGTACAATTTTAAAGGTATTGTTAGAGAGTTGAATTACTTAATTTCAAAAAATCGGTTTATTATTTTATTAATATGTTTTATAAAGATTTACAGATAACAAAAGTTTTTTATGTTCTATCAATTTTTGTAACATTTTAGTTAAAATACGCGTATTATACCTACCGGGTGAATAAAAAGTATGGAACCAACCATTTTTTTGCATAAACTAATTGCTTTACGAAAAAAGTGTGATCCGGATGGATTAAAAAATCCAATAAGAATTCACTTTTTTCCATTTTTAATCCGCTTGAAACCACCCCTAAGTTGTACCTTTGCACAAAAAACATGACCAAATGCATGAAACGACCACTTCGTTTAAGTTCGGAAT